CCCCGCTTCCCGGGGTGCCCCTTGGGGGGGTGGGTGGCCTTGGAGGTGGGGGATGTGGGGTGTTGGGGGGGGTGAGCTGGCTGTAATACCTGCCAGAAGGAACCCCCCCTCTGCAGGGCAGGCTCTCTGGTGTGCTGCCTGCCCCAGCCCGGAGGAATATTCCCTCCTCCCAGAGACAGGTCGCTCCCAACAATTAGGCTGGATGCCAAATGCCTTTAAGATTTATTTTTTTTAAAGGTTTTTTTTGGTTGTTTTTTTTCTTTTTGGAATATGGGGTGGGTTTGTGGAACCTGCAGTGCAAGAGGAGCGAAGGCTTGCTGAGTTGTGTTGCTTTTTTGTGTTTGGGTGGGTTTTTTTGTTGTTGAGAGGGAAGAGAGAAGTGGAAACCGATAAAGATTTAGTATCTGGTGGTAGCGGTGACCTTTTTTGGGTGGGAGTGTGTGGATATATGCTGTGTGTGCTCCTTGGGCTTCGCATGTAGATGTGTTTAGAAGGGATGGAAGGAAGCAGAGTTGCATGGCATGGTCCCACCTGTCATCCTCTTGTGGTGACAGCACTCCAGGCTCTCTCACCTTAAGCCTTTCTTCCCTGGTTTGTCTCCACAGGCTCCTTGAGATCTGGCATGAAACACTAGGATGGGGTGGAGGTGGGGATGGGGGACACACACACCCCAAGAAACGCAGCGAAGGGGAAAACTCCTCCATTTGTGTCTTTTCTTCATTTGCTCACTGTGTCTTTCCAATCGTAGGAGGCTTACGTGCAGAAAATGGTCAAAGTGTGCAACGATTCAGACCGGTGGAGCCTCATCTCCCTGTCCAACAACAGCGGCAAAAACGTGGAGCTGAAATTCGTGGACTCTCTGAGGCGGCAGTTTGAATTCAGCGTCGATTCCTTTCAAATCAAGCTGGACTCCCTGCTGCTTTTTTACGAGTGCTCAGAGAACCCCATGACCGAAACTTTTCACCCCACCATCATCGGCGAGAGCGTCTACGGGGATTTCCAGGAGGCCTTTGACCACCTCTGCAACAAGGTAATCGCCACCCGCAACCCCGAAGAGATCAGAGGAGGGGGTCTCCTGAAGTACTGCAACCTTTTGGTAAGGGGTTTTAGGGCTGCCTCCGAATCTGAGATTAAATCCCTGCAGAGGTACATGTGCTCCAGGTTTTTCATTGACTTCTCAGACATCGGGGAACAGCAGAGGAAGCTGGAGTCCTACTTGCAGAACCACTTTGTGGGCTTGGAGGACCGCAAGTACGACTATCTCATGACCCTTCACGGCGTGGTGAACGAGAGCACGGTGTGCCTGATGGGGCACGAGAGGAGGCAGACTCTCAATCTGATCACCATGCTGGCCATCCGCGTCCTGGCCGAGCAGAACATCATCCCCAACGTGGCCAATGTCACCTGCTATTACCAGCCGGCCCCTTACGTGGCGGACGCCAACTTCAGCAATTACTATATCGCCCAGGTTCAGACGGTGTTCCCTTGCCAGCAGCACACCTACTCGACTTGGCTGCCGTGTAATTAAGGACGCCAATTAGCAGACCTGGTGGGGAGAACGTTTTCTGAGACGTAGGAAGGGGCGAGGTGCCCCCCTTGGAAAAGGTGTGTGTGTATAGGGGGGGGGGGAGGTCGTTTTGTGCAATGATGATCTGCTCTGGTTTGGTTTTTTTTTTCAAGCTTGGTTAAAAAAAGCTTGATGATTCTTCTTAATAATTAACGGGAGCACGATCGAGAAAGAAACCCCCTCCCTGATAATTGGATCCTACCCCAGAGCACAAGAGGCCTGTCATTAAAAGCAACCAGCTTCCCCTGAAGTAAGTGAGGGAGGAATGCTTGATGACAATATGGGTTGGCGATACCTGCTCCCATAGCTTTGGCATAGAGAAGGTGGGAAAGCCTTATTTCCTTTTATTTTTATTCTTAACTCTAGAATGGGATCTGCAAAAAAAAAGGGAGAATGCGAAAGAAGAAGCAAAACAAAACACATAAAAAAAAAACAACAAAAAGAAGAAAAAAAATCACAAAAAATTCTTTACGTATATATTCAGGAATTAAGAGTTAGAGGCATAAAGCAGAGATAAGCTGAATAAAAATGATGTATATTGGGAATTAACTGCATTTTGGGGCTTGCAGCAAGTGCCGTCTATGGGGTGACCGTGTAGAATGTATAGCTTGCTTGACTAGGACGCTTTTCCCAAAAACAGCTTGCTCCCAACGAGCAGTAGTGGATCGGTGCAGTTAGAAAAGCAGAAACACCTACGGTGACTGAAATCCGTTTATTTCCCAGCTGTGTGCACGCCTCACATTTTAAAAATGTGGGAGGGAGCGCAGGAGAACCAGCTGTGGCAAACAGAATATTCTCAAGGACCAAAGATTTCCACAAATAAGTTATCCGAGCAAAGAAGATACAGTAGAGTATATATATATATATATATATAAAAAAGAAAAGAAAGATGTTGCTATATTTGTACACACCAACAGTAATCAAAAGTGCCTGATGCCTTCATAAAATTTGAAGTGAGAAAAAAAAAAAGATATATAGTTTTGTGGTTTAACCATGCATTTTGTTTTATCAGGGACACAAGGATTAAAAAAAACAAACAACCAAACCATAAGCTTGTGAATAAGTGGTGGAGGAAATGCCCTATTTTTTTTTTTTTTTTTCTTGGCAAATACTTGTATAGAGTTAATGTTATGTCGGTGTGCTATTATCCTAGGTACGTGTGTGTATGTGTGTATATATATGTTTGTGTGTGTATATATGTACGTGTTATAGGTGTATATCTATATATATACACACACAATATATATTAATGTGGTCTAGGAAAATGTAGCAATTAAGGAATGTTTAAATAAAGTACTACGTGTTTTCCAGTTTGCAACAGGATGTCATAGGACAGTGGGCACCTTGCAGTGAATTTTTTAACCCACACCTGAGAAATTTGGAGTTAACAACCCAGTCAGGATTAAGGTGGGATTCAGATAATGTCTTTGGTTGCAAGAACAAGGATTACAGTAATTCAGTGGGTTGCTTGTGAGCCATAATAATTCCACAGATGGAGAAACATATGACTAGCTGATTATTATTTTTTTTTTTTTAAACTATTTTGTACTGTAATGCCATTTTGACATTTAACCCACTAATGTTGTGACTGCATACCTCCATGATGTGTAATTCAGTGGAACGTGGATCAAAGATAGGTTTATTTAAACCCCCTGACAGCTAAAGAATATTGTATTAGTTGGTGATTTGAACACTAATTGTTACTATTTAAAGGAGTATTTTTAATCGAATGCGTTACGCATTCCAGGACCACTAGAATTTAGCAAATGTGAAATGAACCCTTTTTAAGAGTGTTGCACGATTGCTTAAAATTATATTTTATATATATATATTATATATATATATTTTTATGCAAATATTAAACATCTTTGATCTGGTTGTCACACTGCATTTACAATTTCAGTACTGTACTTTATTTAAATGGAATCACTTTACATTGGAACAATAACTATTCACTTTCGTTTCCTCTCCCAAAAGACCAGCAGGGGGGGGGGACAGACAAAAAAAAAAATTAGCTGTGTGATGATGACAAAAATCCCAATCATTTTTGTGGGACTTGGACACACATTAAAGGACCAGGCCTTTCCTGTGGCTAAGCATTTTCAGACAGGCAGTCCCTCATCCACTGGGTCTAGAGGTGACTCAGCTTTCTTCTTGGTTCCCACACAGACTTTCTTCACCAGGGCCTCTTGAAATTGGCATTAAAAAAAAAAAAAAAAAAAAGAAATAGCAACCTCCGCTGTCATTTTCACTTCAGTGCCATCTCTGAAGGTGTTAAATTCTTTGTTGGGCTTTGAAGACCTAATGACTAAGTGACACTTGACTCTTTAATAGTGTGCTTTTTTTTCTTACTGAGGATTAAAAAAAGAAAAAAAAAAGGGGGGGTGGGGAGGGAAATTGAGGCTTTTGAAGAAAAGCTGGCAGGGTCTGGCGTTGGAGGAGGCAGGGGTAGGGGAGAAGGAGAGGACTGGTGTCCTGGCAGCCTGTTTTCCCTGCGGAGCGAGCGAGGTACATCTATTTTTGTCGCGCTTTGTACTTTTTTTTTTTACGCTCTGGAGGCAGTTTTCACAGGAACCCGGTTTGTTTACGGGAGCCACCTTCCCGGTGGGAGTCCTTCAGGAAAGCTAAAAGCGGGTTCCTTGCCGACCTTCTCGGCGTTGTCCCTTGGAGAACCTTGCTCCTCACCTTCCTTCCTCCCCATCCTCCTCCAGCCATGGTTCCTGTCTCATCCCACCAGGGTCCTCCCCACCCCACCTCCAGCTGGAGGCTCCTGGATGGCTTTTTTTCCCCTTCTCCCCAGCTCCTCGGGAGTTTTTTGCTGGTGGAAGCCATGGGGAGGGCTGGGGAAATAGGATCAGCTGGTAATGTGGTATGTCTTCTCTGGCCACAAACTATTTGCAGCAAATAAATGACTCATCCGCTCTTTTGAAGGGGCTGGAGGATCTAGAGCTCTGCCACAACCACAGAGGGCTGATAGCACATCACACCATCTCTTTGTCCCTTTGAAGGACCCCCTTTTGTTGCGTGTGTTGTGTTTTCTTTGTTGTTTTTTTTTTTTTTTTTTTTTTTTTTTTTTTTTTTTTTTTTTTTTTTTTTTCTTATTATTATTTTTTATTTTTAATGATTGACAGCAGCTAGTTACCTTATAGTGCATGCAGCGGGGCTCTGAGCTAAACTGCACCTTTCAGCGTTTGCATTTTGATACATATATAATATGTTTTTATATATATTATATAGGTATTCCGGATCTGTTTTGCATATGTTAATGATCAAGTGGTGGAACTGGTGGAGCTTTGTTTTATCTGTGACTTAAAAGGTGCCTGGTGTTTAGAGGTGGGGAGAAGGCATGAGTTCAGGCCAAGAGTAAAATAAGAACCCCTTTTCAAAGCTGGTTTATTTCTGTGGTTTGCACACCTTCCCCTCCATAAAGTCTGACTTTTTTTCGTCTTTTTTTTTTTTTTTTAACTGGTTTTTCCCCTCCTCTTCAGCACACTGGTACTTTTAAATTTAACGACCGCATTCTTGC